GGTGGCACAGGTCCCTTAGGTCTGGCGGGTAGGCTGCTCAACGACGCAGAGCTGCTACTCGTCAGTGCAGAGAAACCACCCACGTTCGCGCTAGCCAAGCGCGATGGAAACTGGCGACGGGCAATGCTGGAGGAGATGAAGGCGATAAAAGAAAATGAGACTTGGCAGCTCGTCGATCCACCCCCAGGATGCCGTCCGATCAGCCTGAAGTGGGTGTATAAAGTCAAAAGGGACGAGCTCGGCGCCATTGTCAAGTACAAGGCACGCCTCGTCGCCCGAGGCTTTGTCCAGCGCGAGGGCATCGACTTCGAGGAGGTCTTTGCACCAGTAGCGCGCATGGAGTCGGTCCGTTTGCTACTTGCTTTGGCGGCAGCAAAGGACTGGCGCGTCCATCACTAGGACATTAAATCGGCCTTCCTCAACGGCGAGCTAGCGGAAACGGTCTTCATCAGGCAACCTCCAGGGTTCGCTGTCAAGGGAGAGGAGCACAGGGTGCTCCGACTGCGCAAAGCACTCTACGGGCTGCGGCAAGCCCCTCGAGCATGGAACGCCAAGCTTGACACTACGCTGGGCGAACTTGGGTTTCAGAGGTGCGCAACCGAGCACGCGCTCTACACACGACGACGGGGGAAGGAAGAACTCGTGGTCGGCGTGTATGTGGATGACTTAATCGTCACCGGCGCGCGCACGGAGGATATCAATAGTTTCAAGCGAGAGATGGCAGCTCGTTTTTGAATGAGCGATCTCGGCGCTCTCTCCTACTACCTCGGCATCGAGGTGAGACAGGGGAAGGAGGAACTCACGCTCGGGCAAAGCGCGTATGCCTCCAAGCTGTTGGAGAGGAGCGGCATGGTGGAGTGCAAGCCATGCGTGACTCCGATGGAGGAGCGGCTGAAGCTGACGAAGGACAGCACCGCAGTGAAAGTAGATGCAACACTCTACCGGAGCATCGTCGGCGGTCTGCGCTACCTAGTCCACATAAGGCCGGACATTGCGTTCGCCGTGGGCTACGTCAGTCGCTTCATGGAGGATCCCAGAAAGGATCACTGGGCTGCGGTGAAGCGGCTACTACGCTACGTCAAGGGGACGGTGAATCATGGAATCATCTTCCCAAAGACCAGGGGAAGTAGACTGCAGCTCACGGTGTTCAGCGATGCAGACATGGCGGGGGACATCGATGGACGATGGAGCACCTCTGGCGTACTCGTCTTCCTCGGGTCAGCCCCAATTTCATGGATGTCGCTGAAACAGAAGGTGGTGGCGCTATCTACGTGCGAGACAGAGTACGTAGCGGCGGCCACAGCGGCGTGCCAAGTTGTGTGGCTACGCCGGCTGCTGGGCGAGATAACCGGCGTGGAAGCTCACCCACCAGCACTGATGGTGGACAACCAGCCCGCCATCGCCCTCGCGAAGAATCCGGTTGAAAGGTCCTAATATGGCTAGAGGGGGGTGAATAGCCTATTTAAAAACTACAAATCAACTAGAGCAATTTGATTAGTAAGACAAATAGCGAAATGCAAACTTGCTCTAGCTCTACAAGGGTTGCAAGCCACCTATCCAACAATTCTAGTTGCAATGATCTATTTGCACACAATCTACTTGACCACTACTCACTAAGAGCTCTCACAAAAGCTACACTAAGAGCTCCACTAGATATGTTTAAAGCACAAGGCAAGCTCTCAATTCTAATTACACTAAAGAGCTTGCTATATCTAGTTTGCGGAAATGTAAATGAGTAAGTGAGACGATTATACCGTCGGGTCGTGGAGTGAACCAATTACACGATGAATATATAGCCAATCACCGGGAGAATGCAAATGACAAGAGACAACCAATTTTTCTCCCGAGGTTCACGTGCTTGCCAACACGCTAGTCCCCGTTGTGTCGACCAACACTTGGTGGTTCGGCGGCTAAGAGGTGTTTCACAAACCTCGTCCACATGATAGGACACCGCAAGAACCGACCCACAAGTGAGGTAACTCAATGACACGAGCAATTTACTAGAGTTACCTTTCGGCACTCCGCCGGGGAAGATACAACTCCCCTCACAATCACCGAAGGCGGCCACGAACAATCACCAACTCGTGCCGATCCTTCACCGCTGCTCCAACCGTCTAGGCGGTGGCAACCACCAAGAGAAACAAGCGAAATCCGTAGCGCAACACGAATACCAAGTGCCACTAGATGCAATCACTCAGGCAATGCACTTGGATTCTCTCCCAATCTCACAATGATGATGGATCAATGATGGAGATGAGTGGGAGGGCTTTGGCTAAGCTCACAAGGTTGCTATGTCAATGAAAATGTGCAAGAGCATTTCCTTGAGCCGGCCATGGGGCTATAAATAGAGCCCCCATCAAATAGAGCCGTTGTACCCCTTCACCACCGGCAAAACACGCTTTGACCGGACGCTCGGTCATACCGACCGACGCTGGCCCTCGGCGTCCGGTCGCCGATGGACGCCACGCGTCACCACTTTCAAACGATGTTCGCCGATTTCAACGGCTCTGAAGTCGACCGGACGCTCGGTCAAAAAATCGACCGACGCTGAAGCCCAAATGTCCGGTCGTTTCGATAAGCTCCCGAGGCGTATTTCTTCGACCGGACGCGTCTGGTCCACCTTGACCGGACGCAGACCCGGTCCGGTGCTCAACCCTTCCTATCAGGTTTGCTCGATCCGGCGGCTTCGACCGGACGTAGCCTTTCAGCGTCCGGTCATTTGAGTGACTCCAATGTCCGGTCGATGAGACCGACGCCAACATCATTTCGACCAACTCCATTTCAACTCTAACTTCTTCACCCTTGCTCAAAAGTGCCAACCACCAAGAATTTTGCATCCGGTGCAATAGAAAATAGACATTTCATTTTTCCAAAAGCCCAATCCCAACACATGTGTTAACTCATTGCAATGCACCTTGTGCACATGTGTTAGCATATTTTTGTGAAAATATTTTTGTGCAAAGGTGTTTGCGAGGTTGAGGAGAGAGGACCCAAACCCATCTCAACCCCGCAAACACCTTGTGCACATGTGTTAGCTATTTTCATCCTAAATGCATAGCACTCCACTAGCATATGCAATGAGTTAGAGCATCTAGTGGCACTTTGATAACCGCATTTTCGATCGAGTTACACTCCTCTTAATAGTACGGCTATCTATCCTAAATGTGATCACACTCACTAAGTGTCTTGATCACTAAAACAAAATGGCTCCTATATTTTATACCTTTGCCTTGAGCCTTTTGTTTTTCTCTTTCTTCTTTTCCAAGTTCAAGCATTTGATCATCACCATGCTATCACCATTGTTATGATCTTCGTCATTGCTTCATCACTTGGAGTAGTGCTACCTATCTCATAAACATCTTGATAAACTAGGTTAGCACTTAGGGTTTCATCAATTAACCAAAACCAAACTAGAGCTTTCACCGGTTCTGCACGACCGGAGTAAACACATCGACGTGAAGTTCCACTTCCTCAGGGACTGTGTTGATGGAGGGCAGATCGTCATCGAGTTCATCGAAACTGCTCGGCAACTCGCAGACGTCCTCACCAAGCCGCTCGGACGACTTCGACTCATGGAGCTGAAGGAGATGATCGGCATGGAGGGGCTACAAGGGTTAGCAGTAGGATTAGGGAAAGATTGTTAGCTAATCTACTGCCACCTTGTGTGAACACAGCAGAGGAAGGCGGCGCCGACTTAGTCTGCCTCACGTGTGTGAACACAAAGAAGGGAAGGCGGCGCCGACTTTGCCCCCTATTGTGATCTGAGGCAGCTGCAGTCTGCGATCGCCCAGACGGCTCACCTGCTGCAGATCAGAGGAACAGAGCGGTGGTCGTGCGCAGTCAACCTGTCAGTTATCTAGTTCTTCGTGCGATGAGCGCCGCACATGGACTAGATAGTTAGAGTTGTATAAATAGACATGTATGGCAACTCAGTAAAGAGAGCTCAGATTTGCCATCACACAGACAGGGCCTCGGCCAACGTTGTTGTCTTGTATTGTGCGTGCTTGCTCTGTTCTCTCTTCTTCTTCTAGCTCGATCCGTAGTGTGTGGGTACGGACACAACCGGTATAGTGGTCTGGGAAGGTATAGTGGTCTGGGAAGACTAGTGGTCTGGTCTGGAAAGACTAGTGGTCTGGTCTGGAATACTAATGGTCTGGGAGACTAGTGGTCTGGGAGACTAGTGGTCTGGTCTAGGAGACTAGTGGTCTGAGACTAGTGGTCTGGAGACCAGTTCACTATCGTCAGACGGTGATCCCGTGGGCCAACAACTAACACTCTGACAGACTTACAGCACCAACATAGAGATAATAATGGTACGGATGAAGAATACATTGTGAAAGTGGGGATTTGATTTCATAACTATGCTCTTGTCAACCATAGGCTATAACCACATAACTGTTTATAAAGAAGGTATGGGTGGATGCAAAATTTGGGTAGAACATGTTTTAACAACAGTTTCGATAACATAGCAGGTTTAGAAGGAAGGTATGTGTGTCTTGGACAATTTTGTTTCTTAATGTTAATGAGTGGTGATCGTGTATTCATAGATTCTAGGATATGGTCCTTCATCAAATCACTTCTGAGATACAGTCCAGAAGAGTTGTAGTCCACTGAAAACTTGAAATATGCTCTTGTGATGCCTGAAGCCTGAAGGTCAATGATTTTTTTTTCATTATAGGCCCTGTTTGGATACTCTAGCACAGCTAGAGGTTAGAGTTAGTTTCTAGCTCAGGACTAGCCCTGAACTAACTCTAGCCTAAAAGATGTTTGGATACAAGGGTTAAAATGATAATAAATGTGTTTTCCAAATCATTGGTGCGGGTGAAAGTAGAAAGAAAACAGTGGACCCCACTTCAAATAGCCCCAACTAGCATAAATAATCACCTCTTTGGGGGGATAGTTTTTTAGGGTGGGCTAGTTGCAAATAACCCACTCTAGCCTTCATGTTTAGCTACTTTAGGGCTAGTTGAGCTCCAACTAGCCCAAACTAGCTCTAACCCATGGATCCAAACAGGGCCATAGATTCAATCTGGCAAGCAACTATTAACGTTCAAGAATAGAAAATATTTTGGACCTTTCTGAATGTTTAGCATGAGCAGTGTCTGGAACTGCACATGTTAAATGGTTTACATGTGTTCATATCCTTAATGCTGATTTCAGTTGTTGCATGCCACCAGGTGGGTTGTCGACCACATACTCAGCCTTGGATTTTCGAAGTCTCTTTCAGAATGGATCGGCAGTAACTTGAAGAAAGACAACGATCATGTGACCTGGGCTTTTGATCTTCAGGCTGCCATAGACATGTTTAGTTCTTATAGGTAAAGTTTAGTGAAGTTCTCGTGGAACTGTGTATTATGCATGAGTATCGAGAATTACTTGTTGACATGAATCATAACATCAGGCAGGCCTACGCTTTGCTGTTAATTTATGTTGCTGGTTCAAATATTGTTAATTTTCAGGGAAAGGGACTATTGGGCACTGCTGGAACGCCCACCTAAGGAATTGGAGATTGCAATAGTGCAAGCAGAGCGCAGTGATCGATGGGTCCCTGATGATGTCCAAAGGCTAAAAGCATTAGCCAGGAGAGAGTCCAAGCCTGATGTAGGAAAAGTGTCACTTCACGTTCTCCCCAACTCTGGCCACTGGGTTCATGTGGACAATCCCAAAGGACTACTCGAGATCATGGTACCTAACTTTCTATCAGCTGTTCAAAATTGAGTGGTACCTTCAATTGGAACCTTCATTTAGTGTGACATATTGAGTTTGACAACCAGTGGGATAACGTTTCTTCCCTCATATTGTTGCCCAACCAGAATTCTTTGCTTCTTTTCTGAGGACATGGTGCACCCTTCTGTTAATAATAGAGAGAAAAGCAAACATAATCCCGTGCTCTCTTTCTGCAGATTATTGGATGTTATTATAAAAAAAAGGAGACCAATGCTTAATATTATCGGTTTTCCTTGCACATTCTCTTTTTCAATTCCCAAAGTTTGCATGCGTGTTGATGATTGTGTTATCTATCTCTTATCTAACCTAATTCTCCGGCCTCTGGTACCGGGCTTTCATAGTGGATTTTTTGTTGCCTTATTTGGTTCATGCATGCTTTTTATGTGATCTGAATATCTGATGTATGCACACTGGAATTGAAGGCTCAAGTGTGAGCTTGCTTCATATGGTTTGATCACCTCTCAACCATCTTCTAACCTTGCGCGCTATCTTAATGTGGACCCTAGCTCAATCACAAATTAATTGAAAGCATCAGTACACTAGTTGTCATTGAATTATCAAAACCAAACTTAGGGCTTTCAACTTTGCATCAAACCATGATATGAACAAGTTCCGAAGGTCTCAAAACACTCCAAAATTGATCCTACAACTCAGCTAAAATATATTTTTTCTTAGCATCGGACTGTCCCTTCTGTGCATTCTTCTTGTTTCACTTCCAAATTCTCCAAAAGCTCCGATTGAGGTGAAACTTGTTTCATTGGATTGCTTACTAGCTGCATGCCCAAGCTCTCTAGATCATTTGTTCATCAAGATTGCACTGCCATGCACACTGAGCACTTTGTCGAGTTCCATGTGCTAAAATCACCTTCTGGCGACGCTCAAGTCTATAAAAGATCTTCAATCTCAAATCTTTGTCGCAAAATTTGATTCTTCCGAGACCTTTGTTCTTGAGTCCTGGATTGCTTTGCTTGACTCCCCGCACTGAATTTTTTTTCCTGTTTTTTCACTTGGAAACGCAGGCCAGGCTTCCCTCGCCTTCGCCGAAACATGGAATCATAGATTCATAGGCTGCTCGAAGTCCGATCAGCAAGCACGCTGCCAATCACAAAGCAGAGCCCGTGATCGCGTTATCGCCGCACTATAGAGTGTCGATCGAGTGTTTTCTTTTTGGTGACTGTGATCGTCACAGGACGGCACTGCAGCATGGACTATATGTGGAGGTAGACTACGAGGAGCTGCGAATTTCGCGCCATTTTCCAATTCGTTAACGCCGAGCATGACATTATACGTCTCGTCGTTCACCATCAGCAGAGGCGGCCACGCAACGAGGTGCTGACTGGTTGCTGAGCCGACGAGCAAGACGATAAGAGCCACCACCACCCACCACATCTCAGACCAGAAACGCCAATCCAATCCAACACATGATCGCTCCGTCTCCGATCCAAATTCACACGCATACTAGCGCCGGTAGCAGCACCGGCAGCCGTGTTCCCCTCCGCCATGGATCCCGCGAACGGCAGCGCGGGCGCCGAGCTCGACGACGCGGCAGAGTGGCGCACCCGCGCGCCGGGCGGCACGGAGCACAGCTGGCTCCGCGCCGTGCCGGGCGGCACCGGCACCACGCTGCTCGCGCTCCGCCTCTCCCGCGGCGACGCGGCCGAGGCGGCGCTGCGCTCCCTGCGGAACGCACACCCCGTCCTCCGCGCCCGCCTCCGGACCTCTCCCTCCGGCCCGACGCTGGCGTTCCCCGACCCGGCAGCGCCTCCGGCCCCGCCGCTCCCGCTGGCGCCGCTCCCGGCGCCGGACTTCCACGCCCTCCTCGAGCACGAGCTCAACCGCAACCCGTGGGCCGACCCGGCGTCGGAGGCGTCCTCCGACGACGCCCCGGTCCTCTTCGCGACGCTCTACGAACTCCCGCCCGCCACGGGCGGCGCGGCGCTGTTCGTCCGGATCCACACGGTCGCGTGCGACCCTTCGGCGGCGAATGCGCTGGCCAGGGAACTCGTCGCGCTGCTGGCCGGTGGTGAGGAGGGCGGGGAGCGCGCCAACCCGGAGTATGCGGCGGCGGAAGCTGGGCTGGAGGAGAGGATCCCGCAGAGGGACACCTGGAAGCCGTTCTGGGCGCGCGGGTTGGATATGGTGGGCTACTCCATCAACGGCCTGCGGACGTCCACGCTGCCGTTCGTGGAGACCGGCACGGAGAGGTCCACGCAGATGCTGCGGCTCGGGCTCGGCCGCGACGAGACCACGAGGCTGCTCGACGTAAGTTCAAGCCTGGCCTGTTCCTCCAGACTTCCATACTCCTGTGCTAGTATTTTACATTGGCAACAAATAGATTCATTCATAGCTCATTGTCCTCTAGGCGTGCAAGGAGAATGGGGTGAGGCTTTGCTCCGCCATGGCCGCCGCGACGATGCTCGCCGCGCGCCAGTCCAAGCAGCTGGAGAGCGGCCAGCAGGAGACATACTCCATCGTGACCCTTATCAATTGCCGCAAGTTTCTTGAGCCGGCCTTGGACGATCGCAACGTCGGTGGGCACGAGTCTCCGATAGCAAGAGCATTTAATGTTGCAATGCTTAGTACCACCGTTAATCCAATCAGTGTCGCAGGGTTCTTCTACTCTGCCATCACCAACACGCACACAATCCACGGCGAGGAAGGGCTGTGGGAGCTGGCCAAGAGGTGCCACGACTCGTACACCAGCGCCAAGAACAACAAGAAACACCTCACCGACATCAGCGACCTCAACTTCCTCATGTGCCGGGCCATCGAGGCTCCCCAGCTGACGACGGCCGGTGCGCTCCGGACGGCGCTTGTCTCCGTGTTCGAGGAGCCCGAGGTCGCCGACGTGGCCGAGGTGCAGAGCAAGGCCGGCGTGGAGGACTGCGTCTGCTGCGCCACCGTGCACGGCATCGGCCCGTCGATCGGCGTGTTCGACTCGATCAAGGACGGCAAGCTGGACTGGACATGCGTGTACCCTTCTCCTCTGCACTCCAGGAAGCAGGTCCAAGAGATCTTTGACAAGGTGAAGCAGATTTTGCACCATGCGGCTGCGGCGGCGGCTGAAGAAAAATTTGAAGACTGCACCTAACGATTTCAGGAGCTTTATGGGGCATTTCGGTAAAACTATAGGCATTCTTTTCTGGTGCAGGTTGTAATGTAAGTACAGTGAAATATAAGTGAACAGGCATCACTTATGCCTTGTATTAGCCTTTTATATTCTTTCAATTCTGGACGCAATGAAAATGTTCCAGTGGGAGGCTGGGAGCTTTGGGGTCATACCGTTGAGTCTTACGGAGTACATAAGAATGCATTGTGTCTTAAACAAATTCCAAATATAAACTCCTGATGCGTTACCTGCATTGCACTTCTTGTATGACATCAGTATATGTTAATACATGTTCCTGCCATCTGGTTTTGCTTTGAACATTCCACGTTTGCACCTAGTGGCTAATTGGATTTGATTTGATTTGTTTTTTAGGCGCATTGCGATTATGCGTAATCAGCGACTTTTTTTTTTAAAGTGTCCAAATAGCAAATCCCAGCATAAAGCTTAGAGCATCTCCAAGAGCCCCATATCTCTTCTCCATCTGTGTTTTTTGGAAAAACAAAAAACTCATCTCCAAGATCTTTCCGAACTTGTCAAACCGGCCTCCTCCATGGGTAAAAATACGCGGAGAGGAATCGCGCGCATCGGCCCTTCCCCGCGCCGCCTCCTCCTTCCCGCGCTCGACCGCGACTCTTTCCCGCACGTAGTCTCCATCGCGCCATAGCCCAGGTTCCGTAGACACGGGCGCAGCTCCTGCACGACGTGGGCTCACTTGCTTCGGTCGTCAACATCGGCGGCGGCGGATCGCGCGCTGGCGCCGCCACTCGAGAACTTCGGCATCATGGACCACCTCGACTTCGACGCATACGGCGGCAGCGGCCACCACGCCGGCGGGGGCTTCGGTGGCGGCGTGTCCCTCACGCTAGGCCTGCAGCAGCATGACTCCCACGACGGCGGCGGCGTCAACATCGCGTTCGGCGCACCGCCGACGCCCGCGCACCACCACCACGGCCGCGCCGCGAGCGTGTACCTGTTCGCTCCTCCGACGACGGACGGCCATCAGATGGCCGGCGGCCTGCACCCGAGACAACAACAGCACCCGAGACAACAACAGCACGTCCAGTTCGGCAGCGCCAGCATCGACGGTGAGGCAGCACACGGGCAAGAGCACTACCGGGGCCTGTAGGGCACTGGGTTTCACCTCCTGCGTGACCTGGCCGGGTGATCTGATCTACCACCCACTGGCAGTCGGCCGCGCGCTAGCTCTAGCTGCGAGTGAGTTGTGAGCGATGGAGACGTCGTGCCGGCGCCTAGCTAGCTAATGGGTGGCCGCCGGATTCATGGCATGCGTGCACTCGATCGCGCGCGCCCATTCAGCCAGCAGCGTTGTGTACGTACACACCGGATTTGTTTGGCTTGTTGCTTTGCGTTGTTAGGATTAATCTCATCCGACTTGATCCAACGATCGAGTCGGACCCCTTGACCGCGTTTTGATCGGGGCGCTCAACGGACTCCTGGTCGGCGGGCCCCTGTCACACAATGCTATAAAAGAGAAAGGTGGGGAACGAGGTTGGTTGACGTCACTAACCCACTGACAAACCCTAGAAGGCCCCATCCGATCGCGGGCGCGCTGCAGTGACGGGAAGCACCGCCGGCCGCGCCGCCGTCCTTTGGATTCCACCGCTCCACATTGCGTCGCCACTGCCATGGCGACTTCTTCCTCCTCTACCTCCTCTGCCAAGCCGAATGTATGGGCCTCTCTCTCTAGGTTTCACATCGATGAACTATATGATGTTTATGCCAAATTAGTGAAGTCAACCCGCTAGATCTACTCCAAGTTGATTCTAAATTCTCTAACAATGGTATCGGAGCCAGGTTAGGGTATAGATCTAGATCGGGGAAGCAATTAGAAGGAGGTGATTCGAAGTTTTCAAATCATGAAACCCTATCCCTAACCCTAGAGACTCACCTAGACATAATCCGCCTTTGAGAATACCACCGTCGTGCAGGAAGAAACCCCGAGACGTCGGCTCGCTGGCGCTCCATCACCGCCGTCGTGTGGGTGGTGATCCCAAGCCGAGTGCCGTGCACGCGGGCTCAGAGCACCGCTGCTCAACGGCGACGCGCTCAACCTTAGGCGAACGCACACGCCGACGAGGGGGCTTACAGCAACGCCACCACTTTTTTCCAGTTGCCACGAGCGACTGCATCTCGCTCGGTGCGGGGCTAGAACAGAGGACAAGGGGAGGGAGAAAGCTCGACTGGACTGGCCGAAGACTCACGACGGAGGCGGCGGCGCCACCTCTTTACAGTTGCCGACGGCCACCGCCACCGATTGTGGGGCTGGGAGAGAAGGCAGAGGGGGAAATGACTAGGGTTTTAGGGACCCTGCGGCCGGACGCCGTTTTGTTCCCACGAGGATGACGAATGACCGTCGGATGAAACGAACTGCTGAAATCGCTCGGGCTGAAAGCGGCCCAGGCGGGAAGACAAATTCCCGGCCCAGGCCTAGGTTGCAGCCTGGGCATGGGGGAGAGCCACGCGCGCTGGTGGGCTGCTGGCCATTTCTGCCGCTGGGCCACGCGCGCGCAAGCAGGCCTCTAGGCCGAGCAAGCTTCGGGCCGAATGCACAGTAATTTTAGAATTTGTTTTATATTTTCAGAAGTATTTGTTTGATAATTCTATATTGAGTTTGAAGTTCAATCTTTGCTCAAATTTCGAACCAACGCGAGAATTTGTTCACAGAGTAGTTAAGTACATAGAAATGCTTCTGATAATATTAATTTTAAGATTATTTTTCATGTTTCCGCTGCAATGATGTTGATTATCTTCTAATTAAATTTGAACCTACGGAAGAATTTAATTTTAAAGAGTAGTTATACGTTTTTTAAGTTAAGAACAATATTATAAGTTTATTCATGAGTTTTTCCATGCATTAATTCTATTTCTACCCACGGTGATTTGGAATTAATGTAGAAGAATATTGTATTTATAATATTGCTCTTTTTCGGACCAAAGTTGATGATAGCAAAGTTGATGATAGCAATATTATAATTTTTTATTTATAAGTTTTATGCATTAATTCTATTTTTAGTGCAACGGTGATGTAGAATTAATGCAGGCGCACCTTGTATGTTTTTATTTTAGCTGATGAGATCACGCAGCTACAAGCCAACGGGTTGCTGAAAGGTCCTAATATGGCTAGAGGGGGGTGAATAGCCTATTTAAAAATCTACAAATTAACTAGAGCAATTTGATTAGTATGACAAATAGCGAAAAGCAAACTTACTCTAGCTCTACAAGGGTTGCAAGCCATCTATCCAACAATTCTAGTTGCTATGATCACTAGACACACAATTCACTAGGTCACTACTCACTAAGAGCTCTTGCTACACTAAAGAGCTCCACTAGATCTACTTAAGCTACAAAGTAAGCTCTCAATTTTAGCTACACTAAAGAGCTTACTACAACTAATTTGCGGGTATATAAATGAGTAATTAAGATGATTATATCGCCGTGTAGAGGAGTGAACCAATCACACGATGAATACTAACTCAATCACCGGAGAATACCAAAGGGAAAGAGACAATCAATTTTCTCCCGAGGTTCACGTGCTTGCCAACACGCTACGTCCCCGTTGTGTCGACCAACACTTGGTGGTTCAACGGCTAAAAGGTGTTACACGAACCTCATCCACACAATTGGATACCGCAGGAACCTACCCACAAGTGACGTAACTCAATGACATGAGCAATCCACTAAGGTTACCTTTCGACACTCCATCGGGGAAGGCACAAGTCCCGTCACAATCACCGGAGATGGACACGAACAATCACCAACTCGTGCCAATCCTCCTCCGCTGCTGAAAGCTCTAGATTGGTTTTGGTGAATTGATGAAACCCTAAATGCTAACCTAGTTTATCAAAGTGATTATGAGATAGGTAGCACTAGTCCAAGTGGTGAAGCAAATGAAGATAATGACATGATGATGGTGATGCCATGGTGATGATCAAGTGCTTGGACTTGGAGAAGAAGAAAGAAAAAGAAAAAGCTCAAGCTAAAGGTGAAATTGATATGAGCTTTTCTATTTAGTGATCGAGACACTTAGTGGGTGTGATCACATTTAGGATTAATAGCCGTACTATTAAGAGGGGTGAAACTCATATTGAAATACGGTTATCAAAGTGCCACTAGATGCTCTAACTCATTGCGTATGCATTTAGGATCTAGTGGAGAGATAACACCCTTGAAAACATTTTGTGAAAATATGCTAACACACAAGCACAAATGTGATACACATTGTGTTTAGCACTTGGGAGAAGGGTTCAAAACTTCACTGGCGAAGTGTCCATCCATAGAGTGCGGATAGTCCGACGGTGCCACCGGCGCCCTGTACAGAAAAGACAGGGTTTCACAGAGAGCACCGGACGCTAGTCACATGGTGATCGGACTCGGGGGGAGCAGCGTCCGATCAATTATAAAAGAAGGTGGTACTCTCGATCTGAGACCGGACGTAGGTGACCGGACTCTGGCTGAACACTGTTTAGCATCCGGTCATACTAATGTGGTGGCGCACAGTAAAGAAGGTGAGTGATCGGACCCGATCGGACTCGCCCAGCATCCGATCACTCACGGTCTTCTCTATGCGCTGCCACATCAGCAGGACCGAACGCTGAACAGTGTTCAGCCAGAGTCCGATCACCTGCGTCCGGTCAAGAGACCGAGGGCGGCCTTCACTGCGTGCCATTGACCGAACGTTGGACCCAGCATCCAGTCACTGCATGACCAGCATCTGGTGCAATCTGTGAAACCCTGTCTTTTCTATATAGGGCACCGGTGGCACCGTCGGACTATCCGTACTCTACGGGCGGACACTCCATCGGTGAAGTTTTGAACCTTTGCTCCCAAGTGCTAAACACAATGTGTATCACCTTTGTGCATGTGTGTTAACATATTTTCACAAATATTTTCAAGGGTATTAGCACTCCACTAGATCCTAAATGCATATGCAATTAGTTAGAGCATCCAGTGGCACTTTGATA